GCAGTTCCTTTGACCTCATGATTCTCATTTGCTCTGACATGCACTGTGAGCTGTAAGGTCTTATATAGACACTTTCCTAATTTTCCTAATCAAGTCCAATCAGTATAATCAAACACAGCTGGACTCAAATGAAGGTGTAGAAGGATGATCAGGATGATCAGAAGAAATGGACAGCACCTGAGTTAAATATATGAGTGTCATGATTTTAGCAAATGGCTGCAATATAACAAAGAGTGAAAAATTGAAGGGGGTCTGAATACTTTCCGTACCCACTGTATATATATACACACATACATATACATATACATACAGGGCCTAAAATTAACACTCACCAAGCGCCAAATGAGAGTAAAAATCAGCGTTGGCGAGTATATGTAACAGTGTCAGTCGCCAGTTGGCGGGTACAACTTTTACGGATTATAATGCAATTAAGTAAAAACAACAGCAAGTTAAAGAGATTATTCGCTGTTTCTGACATAAGCAAAAAAAAATTATCTTTTCCGAAGACAAGATCATCATGATTAGCTGTTCTGTCATAAGCGACAAGAGCGAATCGAATAATAGGATACAAACGGGCTGATCAGGTCAGAGTAGTGTGATGGCCAGCTTGTCCCTAGTATAACCCGAGAATGCGGCGACACATACCTGGGGTTACGCTGCCTAAACGGTGCAGTGAAGTATAGTTTGAAAGGCTGCGCGTTCGGCTGTACGCATACGCTGAGCCGCTTCAGAAAGCTCACCAGTAGCGCTTCAACAGACGAAAACACACAATTATGTAAAAATGCACGCTTTTGGCGAGTTACCTTGTAAACGTAGTCTTAAATGAGTTATAAAGTCTTAAATGACCGTAAAGAGTTGGGAGACAATTGGATATGTGTCAGATCCGCGTCATATGCATCAGGTTTTAAAGAAACAGCGATGATTTTAAAGTGAAACCTGATGAAGTCTGTTATTGATGTAAATCAAAGAACAAAAGAAAAAGAGAAATCCTTGGACGGTTCTAGTAGCTAATTAACTTTTATAGCTTGAATAAAGATTAATATGTATAGTTTATGCATATATATAGTTTACGTGAAGATTGTTTTAAAATCACTTAAATTAAAAGTTGTTATATATTTCAGAGCTTATTAAATGTTAAAAATAATGGCTTTCAATTATACTGTAATGTTGAATGGCTATAATTAATAGGGAAAATTGAGGGAAAATGCACCAGCAGGACAAATTAAAAATATTATAAAAATATTTAGTCATAGTAGTAATAACTGCCTGTTTTTGTCATTGGCAGGTGTGGCAAAACGTTAGTTTTAGGCCCTGTATATATATATATATATATATATATATATATATATATATTTTTTTTGAAAAA